GTCCTGGGATCGAGCCCCACATCGGGCTCCCTGCTCCGCGGGAGGCCTGCTTCTCCCTCTGGCACTCCCCCTGCTTGTGTTCCCTCTCTGTCTTTCTATCCATCAAATAAATAAAATCTTTAACAGAAAAAAAAAAAAATGTGGCCTTGTTGGTACTACCCAAAAACCCCAAAGCTGCTGAGGAATCCCGGCCCACGTGTGCAGCCGACCCAGGGCCATGGCTCAGGTGTGGCCTCGGCTGTGGCCGAGCCCAGAAAACAGCCAAGGTAAGAAACAGCAAAAGCCAAGGAGGGCAGCTCGCTCTTAACACCCAAACAGTCCTCGTGCCCGGAGTTAGAGGTCCCTCTCCATGCAGCTTCTCAGCCGTGCTCGCCCGCAAATGCCAAAGCCAGCAGGAGGTACGTACGGCAGGTGTAAACATCTCTGTACTCCATGTGCTCGTAATCGGGAAGAATTTTCATGAAACGTCCCGACTTCACGCGAGGGTTTATACCTGAACAGACACAGCAGGGAAAGGATAAAGATGGCTCTGCTTCCAGGACAGTATGAATAGTTCCCAGGACTCAACACCCTCCCTCCCTGACAACGGACACTTCCCATTACACACTCAGCCCCCAGAAAACTCAGGGTGCAAGCGTTTGCCCGGGGTGACGGGTCTTCCTTTAACCAGTGGAGCCACACCAGAAACTCATGAAGGCAGGCAATCTCGGGACCCTCCTCTCTCGGTGGCCACAGATTAAGGGAGCACACGGAGGTGGGAGAGCCGAGGCTGTGGTTGGGGGTATATGGGGGACCATTTAGAGAACCCCTATGCCCGAGTCCGATCTCTCCCTTGCCTGGTGCACACTGGCGTTCTCCTCGATCTCTACTGTGTGTGTGTTTTGTTTCTGATTAAGGGCGATGTTGGCCTACCTCCTAACTCAGGCTCCTCCCTCCTGAACCTGTCTATGCCAGGAACCAAACTTGATTTTCCTCCACAACCCATTCCAGAAGCTAAGTAATTTTCTCCTCAATAAGCCCTTCAGAGCAAATTCACAAAAACACCGCTCCTGCATCGTGAACATGAAAACTGAAGCTGGCTCTACCCGGGGCAGATGCAACACTTCTGGACACTGAATAAGGTAATCATTCCCCCGATTTTGCAACCATTTTTAAGGGGTCAAGATTCAGCGGTGAAAAGAAATCTCCAGATGTCCTCCTGCACCTGCCCATGTCCCCAGCATTCCAGACTCGCAGGTAAGCCTGTCCCTTCTCCCTCTCCCACCCCCAGCTTACCCCCGGCCACACCATCTGCTGCTCACGGTTACTGCCCACCTGCCTGCCCACCTGTGCTCCACAGGACAGCATAACTGAGCTGAGCTCCATGGGGGCCTTATTCCCACATCTGCCCCCACACCCGGCAGGTGTCAGCACCTGCCTTCCTCCAGGTGCTGTTTGGAATGCTTACTCCTAAACTCCTAAAGAACTCTGCCTTCAAGTGGCGTTCAGGTGATATTGTCCAACGACCTAACAAATTCAAGGAGTCCGTTGATAAAAACTTGACATAGCAGATACTCCTAGAAACCAGCTGACCGTCCAGAAAAGCCAGAACACCTATGTTTTACGTGCACATACACAGAGATTGTTGTGGACGGAACACCAATGCTGAGAGCCAGCCTAAGTCCCTCCAATTCCAAGCTCTGGTTGGACTTAAGATACTGAGCTCTGGGCAAGCACGGAGGAACCAAGGGTGGAGCCAGGGCCATGTGGGCACCCACAGAATGGAGGGTGGGAGGCAGGGGGCAGGACTGGCGTTCTGCCTCTGGAATCTGGGCTTTGCAGGGTTCAGAGCAGCACTGCTCTGGCTGCAGAGAGGAGAAGACAGGAAGGGGTCAGGCTTTCTGGACATGTGGCTACCAGGGCCCCCTAGACCCACGTCCCCTGGGATGGTGGAAGGTGGAGCGGAGCCAAGAGAAGAAAGCAAGTCCAAGCACGCACAGGGAAGAAGGACCTGGTAGGTCCTGAGCAGCCAGCCTTGCACTGGGGTCCCAAAGACAGGGCTCAGGAGGCAACTGCCGAGCTGGGCAGGGTGGCTGGAGCAAGGATGAAGCCCAAAGCCTCAGGAGGGAAAAGCGGGGAGCTGGGCATGGTAGGGCAGAGGGCTCCCAGAGGCAGGTGGTAGGTCAGAGGGCATGGCTGAGCCCCCATGAGCTGTGCCAGTTGTGAGCAGGCTGGCTCCCCAGAGGAAGGTCCGTGAGGAACCTCCAGCCTGCTGACAGGAGAGCTCCCCAATGTGAGCGAATCCTAACTCGGAACACCAACCACCGCACAATCCCAAGCTGCCATGGATCTCGGGTGTGGGGAGAAGCCTCTGACAGAGCAAGGAACCGACAGGATGGCAAAATCAGCCGCCTCCAAGGAGGGAGCACTGCCCATGTCTCCCCAAGAGTCGGCCCTACATGGAAACCCCATGCTCCCCTGCGGCCATGTGAAGGAGGGGCATCTCAGAGGGAGAACCCGAGTGACAGACCCACTAAGAAGAGGGACGCGGAGAGAGGCAGCGGCCGGCGTGCCCCATACCCTGGAGGGGCTGCCAGGGCTTCGGCTGGCTCTCAGAGACCCGCTTCCGTCTCAGTCCTGAGTCCCGTGCAGACCGCGGCCACCGCTCCCGGGTGAGGCATTTAGGAAGGAGCACCACCTGCTCTGCTTTCAATGGAGAACATTTCAAAAGAATGTGAAAACCAAAATCTACCAAGATGGTTTTAAGATGAAACCTTAATGTCTTTTTATTTTTTTTTAAGATTTTATTTGTTTGTTTATTTATTCATTTATTTAGAGAGAGCAAGCATGAGCAAAGGCAGAAGCAGACTCCCCGCTGAGCAGGGAGCCCGATGCGGGGCTCGATCCCAGGACCCTGAGATCATGACCTGAGCCGAAGGCAGACACTTAACCAACTGAGCCATCCAAGCGTCCACTTAAGGTTCTTTTAAGGGCAGTGAACAGTCAACTTCAGGCCAGAGAGAACTGGTCACCGTCGTCTCTTACTCTGTTCTTTGATCCCCAGCCCTGGGGCGCTAATACTGCATGAGGCGGGCACCCAGGGGTGAACCCACAGGCTGCTCCCTGCAGGTCGGTGCTGGCCCGCAGCTCCTGGCTGGTGTCAGTGTGAACAGAGATCCTCACAGCCTCACGCTAAGGGGCACCGAGGAAAGACATCTGGGGCTGGGGGGACTCGGAGCACTCAGACAGGGCGTGTCACTGGTGACTCTGGAAAGCAAAGGAGGGGAGAACAGGAAACGGGGGCTGGGGGGCTCAACATGGGGACGCGAGGCTCCGGGGTAGACGGAGCCCCAGAACGGGGAGCCTGATGTGGGGCTGCAGGCAGGTGGCCGAGGAAGCCCAGGGAGTGGCCACACTTCCCAGTGAAGCTGCTGTCCACGTGACCCTCGGGCTGTGGGCCCAGATCCAGGGAAGGGGACACCTCTGGAAGCACCCCAGGGTTGTTCCCAACACAGCCACGTTTCTCAGATCTAAGGGTTCTCCACGCCTAATGGAAGACACCATTATCTGTGATGGGCTGGAAAATAAGGATGACACCCCCAAAGATGAAGAAAAGACCCCCCAGGTCAGGGCTGCCGCTCCCAGCGCCGTCCGTGGACCACCAGCTACGTACGACTCTCAGAGAGTGTCCGGGAGGGGACTGTGGGCTGTGGGTCACACTCTCCGCACTCCTATCAAGGGTGCTCACTCTGCATCTGCATCTGGAACAAAGGGGACCGTGGCCGGCAACAGGTTCACTTACGCTTGGCATAGACGTCTCTACAAGACACGCCCGTGATGTCCAGCTTCCGCAGGTTCTCGCAAACGCCATACTCTGCAACAAGAAACATTTGCTGGAGATCACAGTCAAGAAGTCACAAGGCTGCAGAAACAGACAGACGGCGAGCGCAGGGAGGGAAGGTGCGCGCCGAAGCCTTGGCCCTGTCTTCCAAGGCGGAGTCCGACCCTCGCTGTTCCACACTTGGTCGGCACCCACACTCACTGGTGAAGCCATTTTTCTGCTTAGACCACACTTGACAAAGCAACAATCCGCGCTGTCTATCCTGATAAACTCTAGAAGCCTAATTGCACAAACCCCAAATTAGACAATCCCCAGTGGCCTGGAAACAGCTCGTTCCCATGGAAATGAGATCGTCCTTGGTGTCAGGGTCACACGAAGGCCCGCTGAACCCACACTGTGGCTCACCACACCACCGGTTCTATTAAACAAAGCCACGGCCCATGAGGGGAGACCCCGGTGAGAGCCTGGACGAGGGCCTGGAAGGAGGAGCTGTGCCACATGCCTTTGGCACCAGGCCCCCAGACCCCAGCCAGCGATGGAGATCCTGGATGCCCTCCCTGCCTCCCCATCCCTGTCTGGCTGACGGCACCCTCCTGCTTCCTCCTCCCACGTTTCCAAGTCACCCACCCCAGCTTCCCAGCTGAAACCTTGGGTCCTTCAGGTCAGGTCCCGGCAAGGCTGTGCAAGGAAAGCACCGTAAGGAACGAATCCCCACGAATCCAGAACTGCCGGGAGGCAAGAGCCTGCCTGGTATCCACCTCTGTGCGGGCCAGGCACCACTGTATTCAGCCCTGCTAGCAGGCCTGAGAGAGCTGCTACCGTCTCATCCATTTTGGCAGGGAGAAAACATGCACAGAGAGGCCCGGGGCCTGCACAAAGGAGCACAGCTGGTGGTGGAGGACCCAGAGCCGAAGCCTGGATGGGGCGCCTCATGGTGGTGAGCAGAGCCCGGGCAGGAAGAAGCGTGCTCAGCACCCCTGCTGCCCAAGTCCTCACAGAGCCCCACCAGGACTCTCTGTGTCATCCCGGGTACAGTCATTCAGCTGGGGCATCACGGACAGCCACCTCTGTGGCCAGCACTATGCGCCCATCACAGGAAGGGACGCCAAGGCTGGGCAAGGCTGGCAGCTCAGCAGTCCGTCTGAAACATGGACTCATGCAGTGTGGCCAGCACTGGCCAAGTGCCATCCCCTCATCATGTCACTCCTGATGGGGTCTGGTCTGGTCTGTTCACCAGAATGGATGATATCGGCCCAAACGCTTCTACGAACTGACAGGATTCCAATAGTGCACAAAGCAAAGCTCCAGATGCACAGAGGGGAGAAGGTATTTAGGGCAAGGCAGCTACTCGGCAATGTCCCTCCCGACAGGGCCTGCCCAGGGGAGCCCCGCTTTTCCCTACCTCCTCTGCTGATAAACAGACATGAAGTCAAAGACTCCTCTAAGATGTAAATCACGGCCTTGCTCACTATCAGGCAAAAAAATAAAAAGCATATGTTTTATCCTGCTGCCAAGAAGAATGTGGACTCCATTCTGGAGGATAATGCAAGTCTTAGGAGCCTATGAGGACAGACAGATGAAATATGCTGTCCATGCATCCAGGGCAGGGACACAGGAACACCCGCATGCAACGGGGTCCCCAGCATCTCAGAGACCACAGCTTGTCCAAACCCCTGCTCTCCCCGTGCACCAGCTGAATGGCCCACCCTCACCCTGGTGGGCAGAACACACTGACAACCGGTCTACCCCACTCTCAATATAAACGCTATATAAAACTCTCTCCACCATCTCCTGCTGGCTCCATGATGCCCATGATGGTCAAGTGGCTCCTCCTGAAAACCCGGTCAGCGGTCACTACTTTGGCTCTCCGTACACACACTTTGGCTTTCTCCTGTGCAAACAATGCACTTCAAGATTGTTACCGCGTAACAGGACTGGCGTGTCGGTTTGTTTCCTGGGTGGTTTTGAAAGGACAGCTCCGTTTCTCGGTTCCAGCATGCTACCGGTGCTTACAATAACAGACAAGGACGAGTCTCTTACTGCCCCAGAGACAAAGTGGGGTGACCGCAGGGGGCAGGGGTCTTCTCCTTTGTAATGTGTGTGGTGCTGTGGGCAAGACACTGTGACTCTCGGTGCCAATGGTTAGACTCGAGGCACAGCCCTGAATGTGCATTCAGGTACGCTCCTGTGGCTGATGGCCCCGGAGGTCCACAGCCAGGCCTCTCTGAGGCATTGGTACTGCTGCTTAGGTGTTTCTCCGGGCCCAGGCTGTGAAGGCTGGTGACCTGGCTTATGATTTTTGAATCAGAGTCCAACGCACACTCCAACCTGACAGAAACAATGCTTCTGAATGGCTCCCAGGGTTTTAGCCAGGATGGCCACCTCATCATAAATTTCTGCACATTGGGCGCCTGGGTGGCACCGTCGTTAAGCGTCTGCCTTCGGCTCAGGTCATGATCCCAGGGTCCTGGGATCGAGCCCCGCATCGGGCTCCCTGCTCAGCGGGGAGGTCTGCTTCTCCCTCTCCCTCTGCCCCTCCCCACTGTTCGTGATCTCTCTCTCTCTCAGTCTTTCTCTCAAATAAATTTCTGCACACTGTGTCAAGAAATGGCATTGCGCATACGGCACAGAATATGAAGTTGCACAAGCAGATAAAGCATCCACAGAAACACTATGAACAATCAGAAGAAAAGCAAAATTAGGATGTAGTGCTAATAAATAGAGCAATCCTTGGTGGGTTTTTCTTAATGTTCCCAAAAGGTCATAATAAATCCACCAAGGCAGAATAATGTTATTCTGACCCAATCATTCCTACAAGAATTGTCTGGTATTTTCCACCTGATGGGAAAATCTTTTTTTTTAAAGAGGGGCTAAGGACAATGCCACATCCTCTGATTGTTCTACAAACGTTCCCATAAGTCATCAAGGGAAACTGCCCTTAAAATAGCTTGAAGGCCTGTATACTCACCAGCACCGTGTATCCTTCCTTCCAGAAAAACCACCCAGCGTGAACGCCACCCTTTGTCACAGGTCCTGTCCCTGCTGACTGCAAGCGAGCACACCACCCACGCCGCCTACAGGTGCTTCTCAATCCAACACTGGATTTGGTGGTACTGGCTGTCGATTCGAAGAATTTCCTTGGTGCGGCGTCCAGCTAGCTCATTCGGTGGAGCATGTGACTCCTGATCTCAGGGTCGTGAGTTCAGGCCCCATGATGGGTGTAGAGATTAAGTAATAAAAACTTCAAAAAAAAAAAAAATTCCTTGCTAATCTTTTATGTAAAGGAGCTTAAGCAATTCTTTTTTGAAAGTATTTACTCCAAAGATAGCAAAAACAAAACAAAACAAAAAGCTGGGAAGGGAGAAACATGAGTCAGCCGGACTTGAGGGAATTTATAAAATGAAATGGTCATGCTGTGGAGACCAGAATGGGGACACAGAATCACCCTATGACCCAGCTGTCATTCTACTTATGGGTACAGCCCCCAAAGCACTGAAAGCCGGGGCTCAGATACTTCTACACCCGGGCTCACTACAGCACTCCTCACAATATCCAAGAGATGGAAGCAACCCAAGTGTCCGCGGGCAGATGAGCGCATCAACACCACATGGTCCATCCACTCTCTGGAATGTTATTCAGCCTTCAAAAGGAAGTAAACTCTGTCACCTGCTGCAGTATGGATGATCCTTAGGGACATCATGCTCAGGGAAATAAGCCAGTCCCCAAAAAAACAAATACACTGTATGATTGCACTTCCATGACATACCTGGACAGTCAGACTCCCAGAGACAGACAGGATGGTGGCTGCTGGATGGAGGGAGGGCAGCTGGTGTGTAAAGGGACAGAGCTGCAGGTGCGAAAGATGAACAAGGGCTGGAGGCGGCCGGGGGCAGGGGGCGGGGGGCGGGGGGGGTGTTTGCACAACAATGTGAACGTACTGAACTACTGAACGCCACAGTGCTGTACAATTAAAAATAGTCCAAATGGCAATTTTTGTTGTATGTATATGTTACCATAATAAAAAAATTAAATTGCCACTTCAAATACTCCAATCAGAAAATTTCCAAAAAGCTATTTGAAAAATGTTTTGCCAGGAGGGAAGAACAGCCTAGTACTTTGGCAGAGTCAAGTCAACATGTAAGCGGCAGCCTCCTGTGACCTAACTGCCCGGGGCTGCCAAGCGCTCTACACTCTTTCCTGTCCGACGAGCTCAGGGCTGCGTGATGGACTTTACCAAAAACGTCCTGTCCCCACAGCACATTTCTGAACATGCACTAACTCTGGTCAGTCTCTAGAGTAGGAGGTTAGAGGTTTTCTCTCTCTGCCCCCCCACTGCAGGAGAACCCAGGAGACACAGCTCTGCTTCTCAAGGGCCCTTCCCCGGAGGAGAAGGTGGAGATTCAAGGACATGGTAGCCGTGGCAGTCAGGGCTGAGATGCGCACGCACGTCGGAGCAGAATGTGACAAAGAAAGTGAGCGCCATTCTTCAGGGCACTGTGTCGGTACCGGGAGGCTGACACAGCGGGGACCTTGTCTCATTCTCCCAGTCAATGCCATGAGGAGGGAGCTCTGCCAGGCTGGACAGGCGCGGCACTAAGACACCACCTGCAGAGTCTGGGGGCAGACGAGATCCATCTGGAAAGGGGGGTTCTCTCCCAGCCCTGAAAGCAGCCAGGTGGCGGAGAAGGGAGTCCACAAGAGTCTTAGGTATGGAGAGGCTCCAGCGCAGACTATTAACCTGTGGGCCCGCCAGCAGAGATGTACCAGGAAGTGCAGGTGGCGGGGGGGGGGAGGGGGGTACAGGGAGGCCACTGTACCACTACGTAAGTCAGAGGCAGGAGGAGAGGATAGTGTGACTCAGACATGGTACCAGGCAAGCAGGAGGGAGCGAGAGAAGAAGGGCTGGAGTGTGCACCAGAGGCTTCTTTCCTACCTGCTGTGCACACACACAGTTCTCTAAATAAAACTAAAAGGCAGTTTGATCAGAAAAATTGATTTTTGTTTGCACTAAATTAGGGGATAATTATACTCCT